CTGCTGCGCGGCTACGCATCAGGAGTTCTTGTGAACGATGGGAATGGCAACTCTCAGAGCCAAGGGGAGGAAAAAGAGCTGGAGTGAGCAAAACAAAGAGCGAGTGTGGGCCGCGGTGACTTCATGCCTCACCAATGTCCCGCCCACGCTGCTCCGAGCTGTTGCTGCAGCCCGAGCCTCCGCGGCAAGGAACTCTGTAGCGTGGGGCGGTTTCCTAGCAACTCGCAGCCCGAACGCGCCTAGCTACCCGCACTTTGGGAGCCCCAACCCTCCCTCCCCACCCCAGCCGGGGGCCGGGGCAGGACCATTCCTCCCCCGCCCCTCGCCAGCCTCGCCTCCTTCTCATCCTCTCCGGGGTGCATCCCAGAGCGCGACAGCTGTCCCGGCTCTGGACGGCGGGACGCCTGAGCAGCACACTGGGGCCAAAAGGACGAGGGCACGAAGCACCCGCCCCCGTGAAGCCAGGCTCCTGCACCCCTGGGGGACCTCTCCTCCTACGCTCGCGGCCGTGCGCTAAACTCCCGGTCAAGCAGGGAGCTGCGATGCCTCACTCGGTGTCCGCGGGCGCCAGCGGGGTCTTCTAGAGCGCTCCAGGGCCGCCTCCCCCTGCTGCTGGCACATCAAGCTTCCTCCCTCGCCAACCAGGACGCTGCCGCTTCGACTCTGCCCGCTGCTCAGCTGACGAGGCTGCAAAGTTGCAATTAAGTGAAGTTGGCTTCCCTGCCCACCTGTGGAAGAAGCTCGACCTCATTGATGCGCCATCGACTTTTTTCCCCTTCGGCCTCGCCAGCGTCCCCTCCCACAGATGCAGCATCACCCACTGAATGTACATTAGGCTGGTTTTTTCCCCCAGCTTCGGGCTTTGTTTGGGTTTGATTGTGTTTGGCTCTTCGCTAAGCTGATTTATGCAGCAGAAGCCCCATCGGCTGGAGAGAGACAAAAGCTCTTTTCTTTGTCCCAGAGCGGGCTGCGGAGCCTCTGCTCGCGTCGCCGCCCCGGGCCTTTGGCCGTCAGAGGAGGTGCTTCTCGCGGAGATCGCGGGACCGGCCGTGCGGAGCTGGGAGGGCCGCGGGGGCCCTGAAATGACGAGCTGTGCCCAGGCCGCCGTACCTGCATCGTTTGCTCCGAGCCGCGGGGTCCGCCTGCCGGGCCTGCTGGAAACGTCCTAGCAACACTTGGCACTTCGCGCCCGGGAGCGCGAGCGCGCATCCGGTTAGCAGCCAGGCGGCGGGCGCGGTGCAGTGCGGGCTGCTTTGCATTATGTGCCGCTCGGCCCTGGCTTTTTTTACTGCCACATTAGTCTGCCTGCAAAACTGCAGGCCAGGTCCTGCCCCATTCCTCCGGGCGGTCTGGGTGTTTTCAGTTGTTCTTGGACTGGGCCAAAGTGGTAAGTTGTTTTGTTTTCTTTTGTTTTCTTCCCTTCCTCAAAGGTCTTGGGCTGTCACGAAGAGCATCCCGGCCAGGTAAGCGGCCCGGTGACAGCCTCCATCTGCGGAGAACTTCAGAAGGGTGGGTGTGTGGCGCCGTTCTCCATTGCAGGTGGCCCGAGGGAGGCCAGGTGTCAAGCGTTTCCTCCCTAGAGGGACAGCAATAACTGATTACCTGAGGAGACCCTGTGTGTTGCTGAGGGAGGCAGTAATAGCATGGAAGTTTGGGAGGGTGGTGGGCCGTATTTACAGAAGCCCGTTTAGGGGTTCTGCCCCGTCCTTGAAGGCATCCTCCTTGAAGGCATCCTTGAAGATGCTCCCCATCTTTCTAGTATGTGCGTCCACTAACCTCTAGCTTGCATTTGATTCAAGCCTGAGGATAAATTGGTATAATGAGAGTGAGCGTTCTGTTTTTGAGTCCATGAAAGAAAAGGATAGCTGCACACAAGTTTCCTCTACTATAGTGCTCAGCTTGAATGACTTAAACATTTATGAAGAATATTCTTGCTTTAAGTCACTTTTTTCAGCTCAAGAAACAATTCCGAGCTAACTGATCCCTCAGTGAGATCAATCCTTGAGACCGAGACCCTGAGACAGAACCCGAGAGCAGGACTGACAACTTTCAGTCCAGGCAAGCCACTTTTGTCAGAACTACCTGATTTGGAGAGGATACTTCTTTATATAGGATATTGTCTCCTCATTTTACAAATCACAAAGAGAAGCTCAAGTCAAATAGTGTATGAAAATGTGCTTTGGCACTTCTGAATTAGGTGCAAATTGAAGGTGGCAGTACTGGATTGTTAGCAAACAGTAAGACATAAAGTAAGTGATAATAATAATCATGAATTTAGGATGAGTTCTTATTGGTATTAAATGTAGGCCAAATATTTATTTTTGCCAATGCAATGATTATTGCCAATGATATTGATTTTGGAACATGTTTACTTTTTCTGTGTTTGGTCATTGAGACTTAAATTCTATTAGAGCCTTTCTCTGGCCTCTCCTGTTGAAGGAGAGCTGTAATTGTTCTGTATACTAAAATGTTCTCCTATGCTTTGAATTGATGAGCCAACTTTCTGCCTGAAGCTAATTAAAACCATCAAGTCATAACCTTATAAATAAGGATTTACAATGGAAACATGCTAGCTTCACTTATTGGTTGCATACACAGCTGTCTAATATTTGTTTCCAAAGAAGATTTATCCAACTGTGTGAAATGAGAGCAGTTAGAGTTAATTTTTATCTTGTGGTTCTTTTTTTGGCTTATAAGTTGATTTCAAAATAAGTGAAACTTAAGGCAAAGGAAAAAGTAACATTATCAATTATCGGTTAAGTGACACCACTGAGCATAACTCCATCCTGTATCAATAAGTGACAAAGTATTTTTCTGGATTTAGTAAATACATACACACGCACATAAACTAGTAAGATGACCAAAACTTGTGTCAACAGAGTATATTTTGTTCCCAATACTTAGGCAAAAGAAAAAGTGCTACTTGCCCCCAGATTTTGCTAGTAATTGTGAGTTTTTAAAAAATATTCATTGTGTTTGTAAAGATTAGTCAATTTCTCGTGTAATAGCATTGTATTTCCACCCACTGACTGTAGCTGATTTGAAGCAAATATTATGAATGAGCTCTCTTGCACCTGCAGTTGTGAAAAGGGAATGCTTATCTGAAATCAGAACAAGGCATCCTTTTCCCAGTCTCTGTCAATATACAAAGATTTCTGATGTATACTGGTTTGCACTGCAGTTAAAAACATGCAAAAAATTTAAATTATAGCCAGTACAACTCAGAAAATTAGAGATCAGCGTAAGCTGTTGTACTTTTGTGATATAGCTACAAGTCTCAAATTATATGTCTTCACAGTACAAATTAGATGCTTAAAGCAGAATAGGAATTTAGGTATCAGTTACAAAGGAAATCTTGTTCCCTTGCTCAGTAGTTTACACCAAGGAAATGTTGAGGGCAATAAAGCCATACAAAAGAAACCATAAACGGCACAACTTTGGGTTTAATTTTTGAAGTAAAATTTACAGGTCCCAAATACATAGTGGACTTTTAATAACGAATATATAGTGAGAAAGGGGGATGTTATTAATAAAATCTGAACATTATTCTGATCTAGAAAAAAAATTATTGGAGTTTGTTTTTCAACTTTCCTTGGTGGAAATTACCGACAATCAGAGAAACAATAACACTATAAAATGGTTAATGAGTAACTGGAAAACACTAGAGAATACCTAATGGTTAATATTTGAAGAGCTAATGTAGTAACACTGCTGTTTCTACATTTGCTAGTTTTAAAAGGCTAAAAAATTTTTTAACCTAAATTTTTATATAGCAATATGGGAGTGACAAATTTCAGAAACTACCATTTCTTTTTGGAAAGTGGTAACTATTGTGCTGAAATTTCACCTTCTTTGCATAATCAACTATTTATTCTTTTACATAACAATCAACTGGATTAGCATTGTTTTGTAAGTGTAGTATATTACCTCAGAACATGTTTTATAGAATAAGTTTCAGAATTCTTTATGCTTACCTAAAGTGAGAGGATATTTAAGAGAACCAACACTTCATTTTTAAAAATCCAGTTTTCCAAATTATTTGCACAATAAGCATCCAAATTAATTCTATCTTAAAGCAACTGAGATACTTTCCGATAAAAAAGCTTGTACTGTATATGAAAAGGCTATGTTTGTGCTGTATATTTTCAAATCATACCAGCAAAGTAGGTGATATGATCTGAAAAATGACATAAAAATTCCTGTGCCCCCAAACAGTTCTTTCACCTGTTACCAAATTATCAAAATTTTCACCATGTAATGGATTTCTTCGGATTAAGCATGGTATTGACACTATGTTTCTTCTAATTTGTAACGTTATATTACGGACGTTTTCAAACACACAGAGAAGAAGAAAGAATGGTGTAAGGAATCACCACAGACCCATCACCCAGCTTCATCAACTATCAACTGAAGCCCAACTTCTTTCATGTCTTCCCCCACGCATTTCATTTCCTTCCCCCAACAAGACTATTTTGAAGCAAATGTCTCATATCATTTTGTCCTAAAATATATCAGTAAATCAAAATACTACTGGAGGAGAAGCAGGCTTCATTAATTCCCATAACACAAATTTTTTTAGCTAAAATTTAGGGCCACAAGAACGTCCACTATCTTTAAAGGGAGGAATGCGGAAGTGAGGGAGGCGAGCAAAGGCAAAGACAGTTTCAAGTATTTGCTTCTCAGTGGTTCTAATATATAGCTCCATTAAAAATATTCTTTAAAAAGTATGCATGCATATGAAAAAGAAAAAAATACAGACAAATGTAATTACTTTATTCCAGTGGAATCACAGCAGGTATACCTTGTTTGAGTTTCAGTTTTAAGGACTGTTCTGTCTCTTGAATCATCATTTTTCTCCTCTCTACTAGATCATTTACAGCATATGCATATCCATACATGCTGTAATAGCTCTCATCTTCTATTTCTGTCTCCTTTGTAGCAAAAATTCTTGAAAGAGTTGTCCATATTTGCTGTCTCCAATTCTCCTCACCTTCTCTTTTAATCCATTGCTCAGGATTTCTTTATCATCCCTGAAGTTACACCACTCTTAAGATCACAGTGACCTTCCTATTGTCAAATCCTATTGTCAAATCCGAATTGTCAAATTCATAGTCTTCATCCTTCTTGACCTACCATCTGTCGGCTAGTTGGCACTGTTGATCACTCCCACCTTTGAAACACTTCTTTCCTTGGCTTCCTGGATGCTCATTCTCTTGGTTTAAGCTCCTTCTCCATCCCTGATGTTGGTTCTTTCTATGTCCCAACCTCCAAATATAAGAGTGGCCCAGGATTCAGCCCTCAGATGTTCTCTTCTAGATATATACTGGGTCTCACGTGGACTGATCAGGTCTTGGGTATTAAATACTACTTCTATGCTGACAACTCCAGTCCTGCCCTCTTAGCTCATCTCCAGAGGGTCTAGCAAACTGCTTATTCATCATCTCCACTGTATGTCTAAAGGCAAAGTTAACCCTAACATAGTCAAAACCAAACTTCCAATTTTCTCCCTCAGGTTTGCTCCTTTCACACTCTTCTTCATCTCAGTAAGCGATGTCAGTCTTCCAGTAGTTTGGGATGACACTTTGGCAGCACCCTTGATTTCTCTGTTTCTCCCACATTCCATGGTCAGTTCACCACCTCAATTGCCTAAAAAGCTGATTTTGCTGTGATTTTCTTTCGTCCACTCAGATTTGATAAAAGTTGAATTAATACCATAACTTTTTTTTTTTTAAGTATAGGATATCTTCAAGTGGTAGAACCATATATAGCACTCTGAAGAATAAGAGGACTGACCAGGTAGAAAAAGATCTTAGAATAATATTAACCAGCTGATATTTTTTTAAATGTATGTTTAAGTCTTAAAGATATATTATTTATTCATGAATATATATACCTATTAAGCTAATTAAGCCTTGATTGGACTGAAAACAAAATTAGTAACTTTATTAAAACATGGGAAGTCAGAGGATATAGTTTAGAAGAGAAAGGGACACTATTGAATAGGATTTAATGTAGACAGTTAACAAGATAATCAGTTTTCATTCCAATTTGATATTTTTATGAGACATAAGAAATAACATGATATAGCAACAATATATTGCCTTTTCAATTTTCCTGTACTCCATTTTGAATGAACCTTCCTTGAAGCAAATAAAGTATTTGAGATAATCTGGTCTGTGGTGTTTAACAGCCTTTTCTGCCCCACCTGCTAAATTAGATTTATCCAGGTATAGTTTATGTTAAATTTTCACTTTGTTCACCACTCCTCTCCCCCAGGGCCATTCTATTGATCACTAGATGGATCTCAGAGGGTACAGTTTTTATCTAAAGTTCTTTAAACTTTAATAAATGGGGCCTGATATGCAGAGACCATCCAGTTTTCTTAAA